CATTCGTCACGGGTGGCCAGCTCCGTTCGGCACTGTTGAACTGGAAATGGAGCGTCAATCTATTGGAGTTCGAGCGTAATTGGAATCTAGAAGTGCTACCTCTTCCCTTGTGCAATGAGTGAGCTCGATTGACACTGCCATCCACGCACACTCTCTTGTGACCGGAATATGAGAGAGGGTGTCTTGTTGTGGGTGGACTCTGTTTTCTCTGCTTTGCTGCTTCCTGAAATCTTCATGACAGAAAAAGAAGCCTGGGTCAAGGGATTGTACAGTTTCCAGTAGAATGGAAACGTACTTGACTAGTGCCTATTGACGTAACATTGTTTTCATAAACGTTTCTAAGATATCGCGATCCCTACAATATTTTTGTCGAAACTCAGCCACGTGTCTGTAATTTTTTCTAAAATAAGTTAGTTTTGAAGTTTGGTAATGAAGAAAAAATGGCAGCGTATCCACGGAGCAAATAATGGAGAGTTAGGCGAAGCATCCGTCCGTTCATTCGTTCTTGCTTCCGTCCATCCATGCGTCCGTCTGTGTGACCATCCATGCGTCCATCCGCCCGTCCTTGCGTGTGTCTGTTCGTGCGTCCGCACGTCCATCTGTGCATCCGTCCCTGCGTTCGTCCATGCATCCGTCCATGCGTTCGTCCATTCGTCCATCCGTCCGTGCAGCCATCCTTGTATCTGTCCATGCATCTGTCTGTGTGTCCGTTCGTCCATCTATTCAACACTCCAAGTACCACCATCCCGCATCTTTTCATCATATATTCTCCATATATAAGCACCGCCATCCAGCGGACATTCCAAAGACAAAACGAGAGGGGGCACACGCACACTTTTTTACGGCTTGCACTTCGTGTCTACTTCCCACCTTTAACCACCTCGAGTTCATGGTATATACTAGTTCACTGTATTCCTGGCAATGTGCCCCAACGCTCGCTAAACCTTTCTAAACCCAAGGAGGTTACACCAAGTGAGTATACCCTAGCAACCTTTTCTCGTCAGATAGTGCTCAATGTACATGCCAATAGCTGCTAATAAGGAATAAGAGACAGAAGAATTCGGCTTTGAGTTAACGCGCACGCGGCGAATTTTTTATTGTTCAACAACGCACAGGAGAAATATCCCACCGGCACCACCTTGCAGGTCAAAACGTAAGACCGGTTACATACTACGACTACGACTACTGCAAGGGACCAACGGGTGCTGCTTTAAGGAGCTTCGCCCCTAAAATGCTGATGTACCGGTATTTATCACCTCCACTTTAGGTTTATAGAAACTGTGCGAAGGCTGTTATGGTAAAAGAGCAATAGCGGTACTCGAGTAAAGACTATTCTAGAAGATCATTTTTAGATTATTTCACTTGACACCATCAAAACCTGTTTAGGCAAACATGGTCTAGTTCACGTAGCCTAGCGGGTCACCAAGCCAATAGAGCATTCTACTTTTTCACAAGTTTTCATTTCCGATAAAGCAGAATTTAATTTACTAATAGCGGGCAGCCATCCTTGACGTGGGTTGCTGATACAGTTGAATGGACGATAATGACAATGCCCGGCATGTCTTTAGACAGAATTAGGTGCACGTCTGAATGGCTGGCAGGCAGCGTCCGTGCGGCTGCTGTGGACGCGCAAATAATTGTGTCTTTCTTGCTGGGTATCATGTCTGCGAGTTGTGGCTCAGCTTCAGTTAATGACGAAACAAACCTCGCAGCCCCTAGCCGACTGATTTTAACTGGGTAAAGATTATGTACGCTTGCTCATAACGTGGGTTGCGAGAGTATCACTAGTGTGGTGTGTAGAATTTCACGAAAGGCCTATGGTCGCAGCCACGAATGGTTGATAAATGAATGTTTTCTTTTAATGTATATCGTCACGTGAATTCACGTGATACGATACAAAACGGCAAAGGTACAGCTCTATAAGGCTGCGCCACAACTCTATAATAAAAGACTATAGAATAATATAAGGGCGAAAACAAAGCGTTACTGGCAATGCGTTCAGGAAGTCTGACAGTAATCGATGTACCCGATCATAAATCAGCTGATGGTAGTTTCGGGGAGATTTGGCTGTAGCCCTGCTGTGGTGCGGTGCTCGAACACACTAGAAGGTTTTTTTTTTTTTTTTGCTCTCTAACGCCTCGTCCGGCGAAAAGTTCGGCAAAAATAAGTCATGCGCTCGTACAGATACTCTCGATGGAATATTGCATTTCATAGGGGTACAAGAAACAATAACAAAAAAACTAACTGTGGTCTCTGGAGCATGAAGAGAAAGAGAATGAATTGAAAGAAAGGCAGGGAGGTTAACTGGAATTGTAGTATCTGGTTTGCAACCCTGTTCAAAGGAAGGAGGAATGGGGAAGTATGATGAGGAGGCACGGAAAAAGACAAGTAGACGCGCCAACAAAAAAAAAAAAACTAAAGGGGGGAGGGGTTATAGCCTATTCATTGGGCCACTACCACGCAAGAAGTTTAATAAGGCCTTGTCTGGTTTTTTTTTTGGATGAATGCAGACCATATAGGTCACAAAAAAGTGGTAATAATGTAGAGCGTAGCCTGGTAGTTGTGTATGCGGCAGGAAAGATCGCAGCAGGACACTGCTACCTTTAATATCCAACAAACTCTCTTTGCAGCCGTAACAAGGCCTGTTCAATTGTATCTTTATGACATATTCTTAAACAAATCGTAAGAGTCGCGACAAAATCAAGCACGTACTGCGCCGTCAGTATGCATGTCAGAAAGGCATTTTGCAATTTCTGGTATTTATTCTGTGGCCTGTTTAGAATTCCTTATTTATAGCGTGCCCCTCTGTCATATTTCTCCTTCTTTTTATCTTCATAGTTTCCTTATCACTGCCCTTCAGGTATCAGTCACTCAAGATTGATAGTTGCATGTCGCTAACCAGTTAATAGCTCCCTGTTCCTTACGTTCTGTATACGACATATTTGCGCAAATGCACAACCCCTTTCTACAGATGGTTTTACTAGAATACACAACTGCCACTGCTCACTAATATCTGCGTCTTCCTTTATATCCTTCTATATATTCTAGGCCAGTATGGATGTTCTAGTCTGGATTCATGGCGGGTTCCTGCAGCTGGGTTCCGGGCACCAGCCGGGACTGAGTCCTTCGGGGCGGCTGGCTAAACTTACCAACGCCGTACTCGTCAGCTTCAATTACCGCCTCGGGCCATTGGGCTTCCTCGCTCTGACAGCGCTGGAAACGAAGTCAACCACGGCCTGTGGGACGCAGCGCTGGCTCTCACGTGGGTTCGCGACAACATTCGTTCCTCGGAGGGGACCCTGAGAAGGTGAACCGTTCTGTCGCCTAATTAACACACGTCCCGGCTAAGCTTGTTTGCCGAAGTGTGAATGTATGCGGTGGGCGAAAAGTTCGGATGCTGCTTAACACTGCTGTAGTGAATATATAAATGTAAAAACGCTTCTGCACATAATTCGCAATTTACAACTCGTTATCCAATGCTTAAATCTTCATTCTTCTGAAAGAAAAAGAAAAGCCATAGAGAGCTTCTACTCAGCGTAGCTTGGTCAAATGGTTACCACCATGAAATGAGAGAAATGTACACTTAGCAGGAATTGAGTGGAATTAATGATTTACTAATGTTTGTCCTGTGTTGTTTAGACGCGAGAACAGGTCCTAATAAATGCAAAAGCTGCGCAAAGCGAGTTACATATGTAGCCGTTCTTTTCTGAAGGTTAGAGAGGAACGATGAAATGTGATCTTTTTGCTCAATAAAAGTGCGCAAAAGACTAAGTGCAAGACGTAGCGATGGTTTGTTTAATTACTAAATCGTGACAAAATTTGGATATTGTGTTATAGGTGATCCTTTTTTGAACCAGCACTACCACAAGGTTTTTTCGTCTGTTTACATCAAGGTGTTTATTTACCGTATAGACTTCGCTTCGGCGCATTTAACATGCCTGGAAAGCATGTATAGATATATGCATATCTATACACACTTTTTCAGAAAAAAAAGTTGTGAGCTTGAATTCAGTATGCTCATTGTTAAATAGATTCACCACTTCCACGCTTCATTGCGCTTACACTAGTGAACTTGCAATAGTTACGCATTAACTGGTAAATTTATATAAAATCTGGATTGAAGTAAGAGACAAACAAGTGCAGTTTCCATGAGGCTCTGGAGGGTGTAAAACAAATGCTCAAGGTGGCAGCCAAAGTTACATTAAGTATGATGCTTGTGAATTTTTTCTTAACAACTCAACGTTGCATAATAACACGTTAAAAATATTGAAACGTAAAATCCCCCACAATAGCATGACGCTATGCCCAAAAGATTCGTAAGTTTTAGTTAGGTGGGCTCTTCTGATTGCAGGGTTAGTCCGTTTGCATTGTGGGAGCTCTTCGATGTTTATACTTACGCAATCGGTCAAACATTGTCTCATCGGACGCGACTGGAAAGTCTAAAAGCTTATTTGCATACTTCAGGTGACCGTGGGGGCGCCGATGCTGGTGCCTCACTTGCGTTAGCGATTTTGGCAGCGGGACCCCAAGCTGGCTGGGAGCGCCTCTTCAGGGCAGCCTGGCTTGATGGTCCATCGTCAGTACTCAACAGAACGTACGCGCAGGTAAAAAGCAGCTCATTGCTTGGCAGTGTTTACGGCATGTGTCATCGGAACAAAAGTAGTCGATCCATAATATTATTTTGTGGTGCCTGTAATAGTAAGAGTGCGAGATGGAACAACTGTATACAAATGAAGTCAAACAAGTGTTTCTTAAAGTCTGTATTCTTTTGTTCTATTTTTCTCGGGAACCGATTCAGCAGAAGTACACATTCAGGCACGCGAATTGTGCCTGAATGTGTCGAGACTTTGAGTGGTATTTTCGATCAAACAACTTCAAATTTACATACAATATTCGAAACTGTTGGCACGAGTGATAATAGTTTACGTGATAATAATTTACGTAATGGCTGCTGGCCTATTTTGCGCTGAGTAATGGCCACGAAGCACTTTTTTTATGACGAACAGAACTCCCTGTCTTGTTCTATTTTGTTTCGGGAAAGGAAAAGAATTCTTCAAGCCCGTTCGGCGTAACTTAACACAAACCTTGGTCCGTCGCTATTTCGACGTCACTATTACAGGTGGTTCATGGTTGTAGCCTGATGGAAAAACAGCATGACAGACGAAATTCCTACCCATTCGACTTAGCATGGGAGCAAGGCATGTGACTAATGACTGATTGAAAGTAAAGCAAAGTAAAACAGCAAAAACTAAATGTGCAGTTACGTACATTACACCATCCCTGCTTTAGGGCGATAGCATTTGGTGTGTTCTATGGCATAAATTCCAGTGTCTGTGTCGGTGTCCACAGTAGCGTCAACGTCGTTGTTTCACGTTTGCCTTAGTGCATGGACGCGTAGTAGGTCTTTCACTGCCTATCAAAGGGAATCATTACATCACGTAGGCCACTTATGAGGTGTTCTTGTAGTCAAAAGGGCCATGTTTCCACCTATGTTTCCCACATATTCATTCGTTTTCTTACGCAGAGTTAAGGCTTGGTGCGTGAGCAAAGCTACGCTAGCAGTAAGAAAGCGCTGCGCCCGGAGCTCGGTTACTCTAACACATTCTGGAAGGTGGGCCTAAAGTGTCCTACAACCCGCCTTGGTCTAACAGTGGCTACGCTGCTCGATTGCTCACCCAAAGGTCACTGGTACAATCCCGGCCGTGGCGATCGAATTTTGATGGAGGCGAAAAGCTATAGGCCGACGTATCGTGGTATGCTAGTGCATGTTGAAGAACACCAGATGCTAAAAAATTTTTAAAGCACTACAGTGCGGCGTTTCTCATAATCATATTTAAAGCCACAGGTATTGTTATTAAAGTGTCCCCCATCAAGTTTTCATTTTTTCACACTCTCCACAACACTAAGAAAACTATTTCATCAATAACGAACCTATGACCTTCGATGGTCGTAGGGTCAATTCCTGCTCACGGCAAGTTATTTTTTCACCACATTTCTTTCTTCTTATTTACATTTCATTGGTTCTAGTAACTTCCCCGGTACATTCCTTGGCATTATTGTCTTAGATTTCATATATATATATATATATATATATATATATATATATATATATATATATATTATATATATATATATATAAGGTATAAACTGATGCGTCACTACGCAACTTCATCCGACGTTATCCCACCCAGGTTGCCAAGCACAACAAGGCATTTTTCCAGCAGCGTTCTGGTTGTGCTAACGCGACGTGCCTGCGAGGACTGAGCGGTCACGACGTCATCAAAGCCCATTTGGGTAAAGACGACCCATCCTTCAGGATCAGAGACCAGAACGACCTGCCTATTCAGGGGATATTTCCAGAGCAGTTTCTCGTCGTAGACGGTGAGCAAGCAAATACGAATTTTTCTTCGATGTCGCCCGCGCTGCATTGGCTCATTTCCTTCACTAAAATAGCATGAAAAGGCAATGGCTGGACAGGCTCCGTGAGTCGGGCACGCCGCATTCACTAAACGACTTGCCAATGCCAGGGATCCCAGGTCATTCACTGCAAACATTATGCACCCATTTTTCAGAGTATACACTGCAAGCCCATCACGTATTGCTTCCATTGCTTGTCTTACTGATATATGTCAGTTAGAAGACATAGGAGTGGCGCATTTGGGACATCATCATACGCGCAAGAATATGTGAATAGGCCAGCAATAGGAGTCACTTTATCGTTATATTTCGTGTCCATGTTGCCATACTTCAGTGTTTTTCAACGTTTATTTTAATTTGAGCCCATAATGCTGAAATACATATCTAAGGCACAGACTTTAAGTAGGTAACACCTAAAAGTACAGAAAATCGAGGCATGAAAGAGTGCCAAGGCTTGGCACTGGCTACACACTTGAGCGTTGGTTTCGTTGGTACAAATTTATGCCCTTCTTGGGAAACGGATATAAATAGGGGGGGGGGGGAGTTGAGATGAAAGAGCCCGTTTATATATTCATCGCAAAATACGCTCCACCATTTGATAACACCAACGTGAGTTCATCAAACGGGCTATCACTATTTGTGTTATGAAGAATACTTTAATAGGTCGTGTCAGCATTAAATCGCTTCTGCTTTACTTATTAAGGTAGTTGTAATGAGAAGGCTGGCTTCGCTGCAACAATTCTGCTTCTGCACGAGAACCGTAAGGTTGCGAGAACTGCTTGCTAAAGGTGACAGGACGAAGAGGTGGTCATTCCATACCTGCACTGGTGTTTCGCACTAGATTAAGACAGTAGTTGCACGTGTCAGCGTAAGCTGGTCGTCTCTCTGCTTCAGTCCAGCTGGGTTCATAGTGCAAGGAAGTTGATTCGCCTCACCCATATGCAACCGCCTGCAGACTGGTCACTACGTCAACGACCACCTGCGAGAGTTCAAAGACAACGCAAAGGCGAAAACTGGAAGGAATTACACATTTATTCGAACCGAGAGCAGCTGCAAGCCGTGCACCTTGCGCACATATCTTGATGCCCACGCCCTAGAAATCTACGAAGCGTTCGTATTGAGCCATCACGTGTTGGCGCACTATCGATCGTACTATAGACGACAAGGAGATTATGTATGCACGCGAGCACTGTATTTTCATGGACTGGTCGGCACTCATGCGCTGAGTTGTGAAGCTTTACACGAACAGAACGCACGGAAATAAGGAAACTTCTTCAGTTTCGAAAACTTGGGTGACATTGAATCTGAAAGGAAGCCGAACCCAAAACCTCCCGGCCCGCGGCGATAGATACCGGGAGCGTAACCGACTATGCCATCGGCGCATATGGAGGGAGTATTTCAGATGCGCCTTAAATATATAAGACATTCCTTGTCTTTGTAGATGAGCTCTTGGTTTACTGATGTGGTACCGCACCTAGGAGTGGAGAAGAGAAGTGCCATGTTTCGACATTAACAACAACCGTTTTGTGAGTTCACAAAAGGAATTCGTGAAAACCCACTCGGTTTTCACGCATAATTTGCGCGATGCTGCAGTGCATGCATGCAATGTATTCGGAAAATGAATCGCAGGCACGAGTCATTGCTTGTTGCCATGATGAAGTGTCACCATGCGTCAAAATTCGCGCATGAAGATCAAAGGGTTCTGTAGCCTCTTCACACTAACATACATGACATCTCAATTTGCGAGAAACATTCAACTACTACTCTGCAGGCGTGTTTCACTTTCGTGTGTTGTACTGATTTCCGAACGAGAGTGATCAACGATGTTTCTTTTTGTTACTCCAATTCCCAAAGAGGTGCATCTTGTACATATAAATAAATACTCATGTAGTAAGTGCTGTCGGTCTATGAAGCCAAGCAAGCAAGCTCAAGTTTTTACACTTCAGGTAGAGACCTTGTTTTATTATTTGTATCAGTAAAAATAAACGGGAAAACAAAGCACTCAGACCTAAAGGTGAGATATTACCGTTTTGTAAGGTAAAGTATTAGTCAAAAGTTTGCAGGCCACGCTTCCATAGTAATATAAGGGATAGTGGCGTGGCAAATTTTGACTGATCCTGTACGTTCTACGTCTCATAATAGACGGCATTCTAGTGAATATACCATTATTTTTAAGAAGCAAAACAAAGCTGACAGTAAAGCCAATGCGCACGCTTTAAGTCTTAAAGTTGTCGCTTGCTTACGTAAATAATTTTGAACGAAAGCATGAACCACATTCCAACAATGGTGCTACGAACATGCCAAAACACCACGCTGCCTTACCATTACAATTTAGGAAATACATCAAAAGTAATCATTCAACCACCTTAACTTTTGTTTTGTAGAGACTGGTTACAATTTCCTTGTAATTGTCGAGGTACTTCCGTGTCATACTGTGTCCCATGCTGACAAGGCCGCGGAAGAAAAGCCTACTCCGCGAGTGTTGCACTGTACTATCTTGTTACTATAAAGCCAGAGCTTGCTCTTTTTGCTTTGATATTCGAGTGCGCTGGACATTAGTTCGGGCCCTGAAGAATTCAACAGTGTAAGATTTTGGTTAACCAGGTGTGATGAACACCAGCTTTAGCATTATCACTCAAACGATAAAATGTCTACTTGTGGTCATACAATGTTTTTTGAAATGTTAGCTAACCATACGTAACGTAATAATAAGAAAGACAACCATCATGTGTCTTTTCTCATTTTATAGGAACAACACTGACGAAGCCCCCACTGGAAATGATCGAAGGAAATACCAAGTGCGACATTCCCATCTTGATTGGTAAGACTTTCCATGGTTTGCAAGGTGTACCTCCAACACAAAATACCGGAAACAAGATTTCTAAGTTTTGTACCCTAAGAAGTGCGTCTTTAGTTTAGTACGTTCGTAAAATGAAAAAAAAATTGTTTGGATGATCAACAAGACATATATTATACAGAATTTTTTTACGTTTGTACGAGTGAAGGAAAATTTACTAAGGGGTCATCGTAGTTGCTACGCACCTAACATGTGGTTAGTTTTCTTGCATTTGTAGACCCACCGCGGTGGTTTATAGTGGCTAAGGTTCTCGGCTGCTGACCTGCAAGTCACAGAATCGAATCCCGGCTGCGGCGGCTGTATATTTAATGGAGGCAAAAATGTTGTAGGCACGTTTGTTCAATTTGGGAGCACGTTAAAAATCCCAGGTGGTCAAAATTTCCGCAGCCCTCCACTATGGCATCTCTCATAATCATACGGTAATTTGGGACGTTACACGCTACATATCAATTATTGAAATCAAAAATCAGCCTTGCATTTATCGAACTGGCGAAAACAACATACAGTTACTGCGAGAAATGACATATGTTGCGATAGTTAAAAAAAGTGAATATTTACAAAAGTGCCAGAGTAAGATAAGTGCAAGCAGTTCCTTTAATCCAGAATTATTAGTGTTCTAACCACTTCGACGGGCCATTTTATTACGTTTCAGGGTCGTCATCTCAAGCAATCGATATCTGGCCGGGGCCAGACGACTTGAGCCACTGGTCTTGGAATCAATACAAGAAATACGTCACTACAAGCCTCGACAGCTTCGGCCGGTATCACACAGATGGCCCTTCAGCTGTATAACCTGACGAATGCCACAGGTAACCATTACAGATGGCGTAACTGAACCGGAAGCACATTTTACACATCACTGATTATGCCAGAAATTAGAGGAGACTTATCAGTGATGCATCCCGTACGATGATATAAGGCTATATATCATAAACATCCCTCCCATGCAAACTTGTCTTTTTTTTCTTCCTTACCTTGCCCACAAAAATGGATAACAGTAAGCCAAGGAGACGCCACTCTGAGGAAGTCCCTTTGCCAGAACGTCAGACAGGGTCGCACTTTGTTGGCAGAATTTTTATCACTGAGTGTACTGAAGAACGTTCAAGCCTAGCCTTCGAACACAGAAGGCAATATCGTAATCGGGATTCGTTTACTTTGCATAAATTTTCCGATGCACCCTCTAACCATGCGGAGAAAAAAATGAAGGTCTGTGAGCGTAACATCGGCAAATCTGTCCTAAGTTGCGCACATCAATCGGAAAAATATCAAACACAGCAATAATATTATATGTTACACTGCACAAGTATTACACTAAACGACATATGGACGCACAAAACCCGAAGCTGTTTTATCACCTAATCAGAACGGCTGATACCCCGCTTCTCCTGCCGGGACCCTTGTACCAGCGTCAGTTGTAAACAACTATGTTGGTAAAGATTTATTCACGTGAATTAGTGTTGCGTGCAATATACGCAGAGATAAAACGGGTGGCGGAACTCGCTGACACTCAGAATGCAATAAATGGGTTACTCTTTGGTTCTCATACCTGTAGTTAAAAGAGGTAAAGTCACTGGTCATTTAGGCAACGAGCGTATGGAAGCAATTTCAGAAGTTGTCTATCATTCACTGTTAAGAGCCAGAAAAAACAATGCAATTAACTCATAAACGTCAGAACATATTAGACAATACGTTTATCATGCCTTGAAATAACAAAAAAGATACTCTTATGTATCTCTGTCTAATTCCTAATGAGGCGATGGTTTTTTCTGCAGGTGCCGTTGGCGTTGCCCTGAAAAGGAGCTTGGTCAGTTAGTAATACAGTAAAAACAGTTGTACTATACCTGATAATACATTACATTTGTGTTACTAAAATATGTTTTTTTACAGAGAAGAAAAGCATATTTCCGGGTCAATCACTTCAAATACCATAGCAGTGAGGGGTTTATGATGCTTTCCTATTACTGCATCTTCTCGTACCGCTTTCCTATAGGCACAATTAGCAACCTGCAGGATTATTTCGAGTACCTTTGTCCCAGAAAATTTAACTGCGGTGACGTAGTATTTGCAAGAGAAAGTGGGTGTAACCACGTGTTGTGTGTCGCAAGGAAAAAAAAAGGTAAACAGCTGATTCACAAGTCTTGTTTTGCAACGGCTACACACACACAAAAAAACATTGCGGTAAACATACCAGGAATAGCAAAACGCAACACCCAGTAGAATCTCATTATAAGGCTCGAGAAAAAAATCAACAAATTGATGTCAACAAAGGAACGACTGTAAATCTAGTGAGCAACTTGAGTAGTTATCGAACCAGAGGCTTTGATAAACGACGTGAAACAAACGATGCGAGGAATAAGCAAAGCTCAGTAAGGGACACAATAATTTCACGCGAAGTTAAGCACGGCGCTACGCGAGCTTAATAATCCGAATGTTCTCGTCAAGCCAGTGAAGCGGAAGCAGACTCGCTTGCGTGCGCTTCATTTACGGTCTTATGTAACCGAAGAAAAATAATGTAGAGAAGGCTTACGCCAGTACGGGTTTCAAACGAAAGCAAAAAATTTTGCGTAGCACCATAACGGAGTGGTAGAGAGCATTAAGCTCGCTGTAATTACCGCTGCCACTCCCAGGAAAAGGGCGCCAGGAAAAGGGCGCGCTCGGTGAAGCTTATTCGTGGTAACAAAAGGGGCTGACGAATGCCCGAAATTCCGCCACGACGGATCCCTCAGAGGCGACGAGCAGTAACACACTCGACGCTCGGATTCGCAAAACAAGTTCCTCTTGATTGCGGCCGGACGACGGTCCGCAGAGCGCATTACAGTCCGCGATAATGCGCTCGCTCTGGATCCTTTTTTACCCAGCCAGCGCTCTGCGCTGCTGCACTTGCCCCCTACTGAGCGAGGCTTGCACGCCAGGGAAAGTTTGCGCCTGTTTCCGGTTCATTCCTCTTGTTGTTTGCGTACAGTTCTTCTTTGGCGGGGGGGGGGTGGGGGGGGGGGTGTCTGCGTGTGCTTAGAGAGCCAGCTTTTGGGATTTCTTTTTGGGAACGTGGGAAGTGCGCACATCAAAAACAGAGAAATATGAGAGAGATGGCGCGAAATTTCAGAGCGGCAAAAGCCGCTCGCCGTATAATGAAAGCTGCTTTGCCATGATTATTATGTGAACGAGAGGCCAAAATAAAGGAAGAAAGAAAGAAAGAAAGAAAGAAAGAAAGGAAGAGAGAAAGAAAGAAAGAAAGAGAAGCGAAATCAGTAAACACATTTCTTTTTTCGTTCGTGGCACCTTATAAAAAAGTTAACTGCGTATCTGCGTGCTTCGCTGCAAATGTCGAGAAAAGACAATAGTCTTCGCTTGGCCTTTTTTCGTGCAAAGCATCGCATTTTCAGTGCAGCCTAAAAAAACTAGCTTCTTAAGAAATACGTGTCTGTATTTCATGGTGAAGGAACACGCCACCTAATGCTTACTTGTTGATTTTCCGCCTAAGATATGCGTAATATTTGGTTTTTCATCGACAACGTTTCTAAGTATAAACGCATCCACCAGTTTCTGACGGCAGGGTGTTCAGCAAGTGCCTAATGTTTGGCCGGCTGATCGAATCATGTGACGTACAGGCAGAGAGACCCATATTTCTTAGTTTGGACAATGACTATCCCGATCGTAGCTCACTTTTCTAGTGGGCCAGAACTATTCGAGCCGCATTTATCTCGGAAAGGTACTGGGGACCACAAGCTATTCATAAAGCATCAGTGGACCTCAAGCAATCAGTCGACGGCGACGCCACCAAAAACTGCTTTGGAAAGATCACAACCGTACGATTTAACGAAATTTTGATTGGTTGATAAATTACCGACGAGGAGGAACAGAAATAAGGCCCAAAAAGTGGAAGAAATGGCGGAACAAGCACGTGCCGGAAGTCGCTCAAGAAGTTTTTGACTGTGACGTTGGGATGCATTGCCCACTTGTCAAAGAATGTGACAGTGGGGCGTAGTTTGAAATGATTGCTGCCTCAACTGTGGCAAAAGAGAAAGAGTCCGTTATACTACGTTTCAATGCGTAGCAGTCGTTGGCGTGGGGCACATTTTGCGGCGTCCATTCAGAGTCCCCGTCATTCGGCCGGACATCTCGTGAGGGGTGTCTTTTGGACAACTCGTATTTTCTCTCACAATGTTCGTTTCGCGGCGTCGACGCTGTTTAGCCAAAGCACGCTGACAATTACAACGAGCTGCATACCCAGCATTACAGAAGCCTAGAATTATCATAGATTGGTACCTTACCAAACAAATAGAAACGCATGTTGAAGAAGCCTTCCTTACAAGGTGGCATACCGGAGTTTTTGGAGTAAGGAATGGTTATATTGAGTTCCCGCTACTCCAGTTTAAAAGCCCCAGACAGGAGAAAAACGATTGCTTTGCTTCACAAATAATATGACATTCCGTTAAAGCTTACTGACCTTTTGTGTTCTCTTTTCTCGTTAATGCATTCAGTGATCCGAGAGCTGTGATAGTATGGCAGTGCTGTAAGTTCCATCACGCTTATGCTCTGATGTTTGTAGGCCCCACTGAAATCATTTTGTAACGTAGTGATGTTGCACTAAATTGAACTGCTGTCACTATTATTCATTAAATTTCCCTCTTCGAAGTATCCCAAGAAAAGTTGTCTTTAAAAAAGAAGAGGCTCTTTATTTTATTCAAGCTTACAAAAGCGAGAGATATTTACACAGGAGCTGTTGCATCGATGATGAATGTTAGGAAGTAGATTTCGCCTATTGCGTATTGTTATATTGGGCTGGTTTCAGTATACGGACATGGACCAGGAGGCGTAGCATGGGGTAATCCTTGTCAGGCGTGCATAGGGCATTTTGATGAGACTGCACACTGTCTTTGGTAGGAATGTATGTTACGATCTCCTCAGATTCATAAATGTGGCATACATAATGTCCAGGCTCACAATGCCTGAAAGAGTTGTGCTTCCCACTTACACGTTTCTTGCGGGTTCAACGAAGTCATAACTGTGCCACGCCTAGCCAAGTTACACCCGAGGCACTTTAGCATAATAATTAGCTGCACTAAACGTAGATGGCGGCAGCATTCCTGCCGAAGCGACAAGAATTAGTGAAGTTTTTCGCCATGACAGCTGTTTGTGCCGTAGTTGGTTGACTTGCCAAGCTTTTTTTTCTAAAGTCGTGAAATTGGAAGTTTGAGTCTCCTCTTAGCTAAACTCACCTAAAGTTCTTTCTGCACAATGGACCCGTCCTTTGGTAAACATCAATTCTGTCACAAAAATAACGTGCGTCAATTCTGAGGGGACAGCAGCACGAAACGGTGGCCTGTTAAAAATTTCATAGAATTAGTTCTGTACGTACGATGTGTCTCGGTGTTTCTCATATCTGTACCACCAGTTTGTCAGCCTCAACAGCCGTATTCATTCAAGCAATTAAAAAAAAAACTAGCCGAAGAAAGCGTGAAGCAGTAAATAGACTTGAATAATCAGTAAATAGACTTGAATAGACTTGAAAAACGTCTTTACGGATGTGAACCCAGATCATGCTTTCTCGAGCGGAACTTACTTTGTGTAGGAAATCTTGGTTGAGCACACGTGGTTAGACAAAATATGCTTCCGCGATAAAAAATAGTTTCATAGGTATGCGATCTCGTGTTTCCCTGTTATTATTTTTTTCTATTTAGCACTTGTGAATATGCTCCTGTTATTGGTCTACAAAGTTTCGTTCCTACAATTTGGTAGTTCTGTTTTGCCTACTGGACTGTAAAGAAAAGACGGGATGTGCCCAATAAATACCGCAGTTCGGCCGGATAATGCAATCTTGTGTCAAGCGCGCAGCTTACAATGATGATAAGCGGCCCAGTTAAGAAGTCAATGTTCACCAAACTGGTGGCTTGCCTAGATAATTTCAGTGTGTAGAATAATCCAAAAGCATGGGCGTAATCGGCTAGTCAATATATTGGAGACGCTTCTTAGTAGCGTCGTATACTTATAATAATGAGGTGCTGCATTTCCTAACTGTGTCCCGTGTTGTGCTAAGGTTTACAGCAGCTTTTTAATAATGTACATGAAAAAGTTGTGCGGAGACGCTTGGAAACATGTTCTCGCTATATGTTTCTACGCTTGGTTTGATACTATAGACCAGTGTGCACATCTTTGCAAAAACTCAACGTGACTTTCACTGCCGCGTACTCCTGAATATGTAGAGTCCCGTACTGAGGAATCATAGCTTAGTTAAACATGATTTCATTTCCTGACTTTAGCACCGACAACGTAGCTGTGGAATCACTAATTTTTCTACTCCGATCCCTGTGAAAAGCTCTTGAGCCAAAAAAGCCGATAAGCGTGCAGGTGGCGATCGTCTTTTCAGTCGAACGTGACGGTAATTGTGTATTCACAGATCCAGGAAATACGCCAGAGTTGGTGTACACGACGATGGTGACCGACCTTCGTGTAGCCTGTCCAGTGGCGAACATGGCTTCCAACTTGGCGATGGCGTTCCAGTCGCCTGTCTACCGATATGTGTCGGAAATCCGCCCGTCCAAGCCAGTAAGACGGCGATTCCTTCAATTTCCTCTTGTTGTTAAAATAGCAAAGACGCAATTGCAAAGAATGAAGACAGCGTTACTGGAGAAGCTGCGGTTAAGTGCCTCCTCACAAGCGTTTACTGATCACACGTTTTCAATGGTGTAAAAGACTCATCATGTCATTTATTAAGACAAAGTTATGGACGTCGAAGCGAACTCATTACTTTTAGGAAATTAAATGATGCACGCATGGCCAAGCATTTAGAAGTATATGTGAAGGTGCACAAAGGCCTTCTCAAAACACTTAGAATCTTGCTATAAATTCAAGCAACGTTGCGGCTTTGATCAGAATCACAATTTACAGGAGGGGGTTGAAAGAGTTGAACTAAACATGTGTGTGGCTCTAGTGTGTTTTTCGTAAATAATCCTGGTGCTTCAAGAATTAGCTTAAATAAACTTCGGAGTTTAAATTGAGAAATAACGCGAAATATATTTCGGAGGTACTAGATAATCATATCACCAAACCCTCTATAAAATAACAGCATCTGACTTCAGTAACTACACATACTAAATGATGTTCAAAACCTAAGATCGAGACACGCTTCTTGCATTTTTTGAGATAACACAAAAATTTATAATTGTCTTCATTATTTACCTATTTTCGAATGCAGGTAAAGATATTAGGTCACGAGGCGCCATACAGCCTGCACCCGTGGATGCTCGTGGCATTCTTTGGCCTTCAGGACCACTTTCTGGGAGAAGGTGATGGTGATGGCACTCTGCAAGAACCCGACCTGGCTCTTCGCGACGTTGTTCGAGAAATGGCACTGCAGTTTGTGCGCTCTGGTGGCCGGTCAGTGCCCGTGGCAGACTGGATGAGGTATCCGAAGACGGTATCACTGCTTCGAGGTGCCAACGCCACGTGGGAGGTAGTGCCGACCACCTCATATAAGAAGACCGAGTGCAAATTCTGGACCTCGGAGGGACTGACCCAGTATGCGTGGATAAGCTAAGCGTTCCGAGATCGAGCCCTGTACTATAATACACCGTCCGGATTTGTTAGACGACGGGTGAGAAAAGTTGGTGCCGATAATTTTCTGTGCAGTATAATTCGTGTGCTTGTTGCCCCATCCGAACGACTTCAGGCTCAAGAAAGTGGCGTTGTACGACTTCTGAAACAACTGCCATGTACATGCGAGTGTGGAAAATACGCCACAACAGAAATACGTCTAGTTGGTTTTATTCGGCCGTGTTCAAAGAATGCAGTGCAAATTACAAACTTCGCAACACGAAACCTCAGTTGAATGCTGAACAGTAAGAGCCATCTTTCATTTCTATCCCAATAATACGTCAACTATACAGTTATGGCGTCCTCATAAGTGCCACATACATGTGTAGAAAAATAGCTGCTTTCGTAGCGCCGCGTTATGGCACTTCGAAGGGCTTGTTTTCCACCCTATAAAAAATGTTGCGTTATAATATGACCTAATAGTAAATCATCGAAGTGCCAAATTACCCTGCTTATACAGTTAGAATTTCCAACCGTTAGACAATATTGCTTATTGCATGCATAATGCCAAGTGCAAAGTTTCAGAGATACATGCGATAAAAGAGAAAGTATGTGATAAAAATCAGCCTTCCTCAAGGAAGCAATAGCCTAGGGAGTAGTATATATATGTGTGCTCTATGGAGTGTAAACGATACAGACAATAAATATGTTCCCTAAGAAAATACAGAATGGCGAGCACACAGTAAAAGATGAAGCAGATAAAAAAATTGGCCCCATATCTGCATGTTTCTGCAAATGTCGTCGAAAGACGATAGTCTTGCGTGTGGAAGAGTGAACAAGACATTTATTTGGTGTTCTGCGCAAGAAAATTGGTAAGTGGTATTCTGGAGGCGCTGCTTTAGAGTGCCTAGAGCGTCCAACGAAGGCGAACGAGCGCATCAAGTCACCTCACACTTGAGACATGAGTGCTATCTGGCAGTTATCTTGAAAAGCGAAGCGCGCATGCCATGCGCGCCCATCTCGAAGGTGATAAGGTGTAGAACGCAAGGCGACGGGTAGGTGTCACCACCGTCTCGTCTTAGCAAAGCGTTAGAAACACTCCTCGTTACGTGCAAGCGTTGCATGGTCAGCGCAGCGTGATCAGCGCTATGGTCCTTAAAGTTACTTATGAATGCCTTTGCTAGTTAAAGGCGCACATGCAGAACACATACGTGTTGTTATGGTGCCCTAGACATGCGCAATAATTGCTTTTAAATTTACAATTGCACCATCATGAACGCTGAACCTTGAGCAACATTGGTGGGTGCTGCGCATGGGGTCGGCCGTTTCGAATACCCGAAGCCGTTGAGAGTGGACAAACTAACAAATGTACAGACAGACAGACAGAGAGACCAAAATTTTGGCGCCGAAGGTCCCCAAGAAAGACTATCGTCCTTAAAAAGCCACGTCTCAGAACTGAATGCACAGGCGATAGCTCCTGGTACCTTCACTCTTCCAGTAATGAATGTAGAACGTGTCTGTTAGAGCAAAAAGGCTCTCCCCCATGTTTGCCTTTCTTCCTAATCAGCAAATATTGCTGTTCCTGCTGGATTATGAACACCAAGTTTGTTACGTCATCTCGTAACCAAAATGGAAATTAAAGCAACTCAAGGTATTCCTAATTTTCACTAATGTGCCAAATGAACAGTAGTTCTTGCAGAACCTCAACAGCATTTGTAGTTAACCAATAAGCACAAAGAGATCTGAGAAAATCGAGCCAGACCTAGATTCTGTGGTACAATATTAGATTCTGTGAAAATATAACATATTTCTCCGAGTTATTCATTAGCGGTAAGGCAGCCAAAGAAGCCCAAATTATCGTCGCTATGAAAAGCAAAGCAAAAATAGGCAAACTCCATCCGAGTCTATGCACAATGTGTGTATAATACACGCTCTATTGCAGTGCAGCCGATGACATGGACGCCACTATAACCTGGTAAAGCATTCTGCACATAAAAATATTTGCCTGTGAATGTGTGCGTGCGTGAGGACAGCGTGATCTGTGCCTTAGGCAGACTCTTCCTGGGATCTTCGCCGTCTGTGGACATTCCTTTACAGTGTAAAGCAGTGCTTTGTCTACTTGCACCGCATATTGTTTGCAGCAGTCAAACAGCCTGTTTTGTCATACATTTGTCGTGCTAAAAGGGTGTGCTTTCTGCCGCGTCATTGCATGTGTGTGGTGGTGTGTGCCTGTTTACATGCTTTAGAAATTGCGTCCCTTTGTTCTTGTTTATGAGTAGACTTAAATCCATTATAAATATTCCACTGTTCAGAGTTTACAGTTTCCGCACTTTAAAGTACATACATAGCTGTCTGCTGTACTTGCTTTAATTCAAATACCTCATTTGATGTAAATATAATCAGAAACATCATCCTATAGCATGCACCAGCTTTGTAAACTAAATATAAAGCAGCTTCAGACAAGAGTGACGGTTTTATTTTGCATCTACATTCAGGAATAGTTGGTACACAGGGCAAGGCATTTCGCTTTACTAAAAATATGTTATCATCAAATTTTTAAATCTGCTTTAAGGAGTACAACATCAGTCGAATGTTCCCTTTAACAGAAAATTCTTAGTAGCTGTAAAAGCAAACATTGCGATGGTATATTTCATGGAGTTTTAATAAATAAAATGCTTTCGTGATGCTGTAAAAACTGTGTTGAATGAGGACTTGAATTGGAAGTGAATTTTCAGTATATTTCACACAGTGACCCCGTCACGCTATTTAGGTTGACGTCAAAACACATTATTTCTTTAAGCTTAAGCGCACAGGCTTGTACACTACAATTTACCTAGTCCTTCGACATGGTTTTCATGCAGGTTCAGAGCATGGCTGATATATTGGACATGGTTTGTTTATATTCCTATTACAATGCTGGAACAGCATTTTAACCAGTGGGAATTGTAGTAGATCCAGTAATTCAGGTAGTATATCTACTGAAGTTTCAACTTCCGGATAAACTCGACATTTTTACATTGTGTATACCTTACAGTAGCTAACCAAAAAATCAGAATGAAACTTAAAAGGCAGCCTGTTAATTGACTAATAACTTTGAATAAGCCTATCTCAAAGCAATGTTTGGGCGTAAGATATACTTAAGGGTATATGTTTGGACGCTTTAAATTAAACAAACAGTATTTCCTACCTGCTGGTTCTGTGTCCATGCCTAAATTCTGTCGCTGCATGTGTAGACATGTGATTAAAGTGTAGAGACAAATCCATGTGTGATGGGAGTTACTCAAATGCTAAGTGATAGATCATTCTGTGTGCTTGCTTGAGTATTTTTCTCGTGGAGAATTTTTCCGGACTACTTTTGTATCAATGGCCTTCTTTTGCGGAAAATCGAAACGTTCATCGCGGTAACATATGCTCACATGAAATGATTAACGCTTGCTTGAACTACTGTTCCGCGGCTAAAAATTGTGTCACGTGCTTGAATGAGTTTCAATAAAAGTAACTTTGCTTATTTGTAACCACCATAGCATTTTTCTTGTCTTTGTAAGATTCTAAGATTATTTAGGCAGTCGTACAATTGCTGAAAACTGTGCTACATATCACTCTGCAGTGCTATTGCATATTACATACCATGCACGAAGTCTTAACTAAAATGGAATACAGAGTGTTTCCAAACACATGACTGTGTAAATACAGAGACGTAAGAAAGAGATATGCTTCCGGCAAAAAAACATGCAAGGGTTCCAGAGGTGCCGCGTTTTTGCGAAGTTTAAAGGTTCGAAGTGTATTTGTGCTTTGCACAAAGTGACTTTAAAGGCAAGTTCAGTTGATGCTTGGAACTCATAATTGTACGTAAGGCCGAGTTCGCTACAACGTCTATATTTCGCATTTTTCTAAAGGTTGGTCACCAAATTTAAAAAAAACGCACAAAAAGATCATCACAATTGTCAATCAAAAGTTATCTTATAAACGTTTGGCTTCTGGTTCTTCAGTAAGGTTAAATTGATAAAGTCACTGAAACACTAAACAATACCATTTATAAAAATCAAAATGCACCGCAATTGGTCTGACTACCAAATCGTTGTTGTGATTCCAACACGACTCGGTAGGTGTGTAACAAGGACAACATCCTGTGCATCTGACTGCCACGATGACCACATACTCAAGATAAAGCGCGTTATTAAAAAAAAAGAGTGTCACAGTTTATATTTGGTAGGGTTGCTTTCCGCAGACAGGCCATACTACATGAAGTTCCAGCCGATTTTTAATTATTCTGGCTAAGTGCGCATTTACCCATATAGAGATCGCATGCAAAATCTTATAACAACATATTCTGTGAAACGAAAGTTATCACTGTTTGCATCACTGTAGGATGCAAGATAAAAGGTTTAGATAAAAATAGCTATAAACATTTGAAATGATACTGTATGTAATATTAAACATCCCGTATATCTAAAATTCACTAGGTTCATAGCTTAGTAGCTCTTTTGTCGCCGCAGAATTTTTATTTGAGGGAGCTTATTACTGCATTTTTTAGCTTGTTTTCTGTCTCCGGCTCACGGATATACGTGTGCTGACGCTTGTGTTGACGCTTCTTCCTCCTCTTATATTCCAACATAATTCAAACAGCAGTATAACTTGCTGATTGAAAGGCAATCTAGCTACTCCAAGTGGCAGACTAAAGAGCGACAGCATGTAGGCCCGTGTGCTCAGATTTGGGTGCACGGTAAAAAACCCCAGGTGGTCGAAATTTCCGGAGCCCTCCACTACGGCGTCTCTCATAATCAAATGGTGGTTTCGGGACGTTAAACCTCACATATCTATCAAAGAGCGACAGCTGAGCCGAAACCCATGCAACTTAAACAACACCATTTTATGTCATTGAAATTATGCCATGCCATTGAATTTTAATATCAAAGACTCATATGTTACATGATTTAGATCATGCCAAACTACTTACTCGTGTGATATATGTAGGCTGGAAATCATTCATGGTGGTTGCGCAGGTGCTGGGGTACCAGAGGCTTTGTTTCGGTTGCGGATGCATCTAGAAGGTTTTGGAAAAATTATCATAACTTTCGAGTGGGTGAACATAAGTGCATAACACATTTGGTAAATATCCCAAATAGATAGGGAGTTTGAAACTAGGAAATATTAAAGCACATAAACCATTGTTTTAAATATTTTGTTTTTGATGGTGGTGACATACCTAAATTTTCCGTAGGCCAAGTGAGGTGTTAGTGGCATCCCTGTTTTTAATTGGGCGCTTTACGACTTCATCTGGTAAATAAAATTAGAAGAGTTTCAAATTTTATTTTGCTGCATTCACTAGCAAACTTTTTTATCATTTGCAGATATGTGAAGCAAGCCTAAAAACGGTTTTTTTCTGTGCTCTTCTCGTCATCCCTCACCAGCGGGCTGGTGCGCATCGGGGCCGCCAAGCGTAGTGCGGCTGCAAAGAATTCATGTAGTTCTTTGTCCGTACGGTCGGCCTCGATGATTAAGTGGCAAAGGTGCTCGGTTGGTAACACATCAAAGGCCATGAGTTCAATCTCAGTCGCGGTGGTCGCATTTTGATGAAAGTGAAATGGTTGTGGCCCGTGTTCTGTGCGATGTCACCACACGTTGAGGAACACCGGACGATCAGAATTTCCGGAGGCCTCCACTGCGGCAACTCTTATAGAGATATTGTAGTTCTGACACGTGAAACTGCAAAATAAATATTGATATATTGTTCGTATGTAAGGATGCAAAGAATAGGCTAACACGAGACTGACGCTGCTGAGCTGTTCTTAGTAATGAAGAACAGCTGGTGTGATTGTATATTTGTGACAGGAACATGTACCCACAGCAAAATGAACTGTGAAAGGGTTAGTATTAATTGATTCTACATTGTTCATTGTTTTTCTTCAGCAGCTGGACCAAAGTTTCTTTGGCATGAACTTTCGAGAAATCGCTTGCGCGTGCACTCAGTTCAATATACAGTTTCAATTCGCAACACCGCGGTAGCCTGAAGACTAAGCAAGAAGTTGTTAAACAAGATAGGATCGATTACAACATTGGATTGGTGAGTACTGGCCTACTTTCTTTATGAAGCACACAAAAACACAACTATGTCACGGGAAGAAGAACTTAAGCAAAAAAGTTGACTGGTGAACATAGGCCACAGTTCATGTTTTTTTTATGTGTTCGCAAGAGCTGAACACTTCATCCATCGGTTGAAACAAACTATGGCTTGTTTGAATACACCAAAGTTTAAAATGAATATCACTATTACCAAAACAATAAAAAAGTATTTTGGTGATACCCCTGGCTTTTGCATACTCTACAACGACCACATCAAATTCGGAAATCTGGCAGCAGCATCTTTTCAGAAACGCTCTCATTTTGCAACCTTACATGCCGGCACATATTAATGAGACGTATTAAAAGCAGCGCCTTTTCTTTAGGCTTCTCATTCAAGTTTTTTCCGGTGCCAATAGGATTGCACTAAAGCCTGCTGCACTGTTTCCGTCTAAATCCTTCGAAACACTCCCAAGACGCCAATATTATCTGTCATACTACGTATAAATAAAACTCGCTAGAATTATACCAACTAATGATCTCTAGGGTACATGGTATATATAGTACACCCCTAAAAACTCATTTCAAGGTAAATTAGGCAGATATGAAAATTTTCGGTTGTAAGAAAGGTGCAAATTGGATCACCCTGAATCTAAGTAGAAGCAGAGGGAGGGTGCCCACTGGGCCGACCATGGCCTTGAAAAAAAAAAGGCAGATCCCACGTACAGTGGAAGTCGATCAAATGCGAAGCACGATGGAAAAGCTTGATAATGCACTTGCTACCCTGCACTGGGGAAGAGATAAAGGGGAGAAAAGAGGTTGCAGAAATATGAGAAGGTACAAACAATCACGAGCACACTCGGGGAGCACACACAGTTTACAGGCGGTCGCTCAGGTTTGTTGACTTAAGGTAAAGTAGCAGTACTTTAGTTGCTTTCTGCGCAACTGAGGCAGATGCCCAAGGTCCTAGTATTTTTGCACACAAAATGGTCCGGGGTCAAGTCGATTCAAAACCATCCGTAGCTGGCATCGCTGTGTGTCGTAGCAAGCGCAGCTGCACAGGACGTGTTCGATGGTCTCTTCATCTCCGCAGTAGTCGCATGTAGGAGTGTCTGCATACCAATGTGAAAGGAGTACACCTTAGTGAATGCAACACCCAACCAAAGGCGGCATAACAGTGTCGCATCGGAGCGGGAAAGTTGTGATGGTAGCTTTAGCTTGAGCGAAGGATCCAGTTCATAAAATTGACACCTTTGGAAGCTGGTAGACGACCAGAACGTGCGTGTGAGATCGAGCCAGCAGGTAAAGTTGTCTTGCTGCATCATTCCTTGATAGAGGAACGGGACTACACGGGTTTCTTCATGGGCTGAGCGGGCTGCATCATCGGCTGATTGATTCCGGGTATCACGCATATGTCCAGGCAGCCATTGATATCTAATATCATGCCCTCGTGCTAGAGCTTCATGATGGCAATGTCTTATTCTTGTACCAGTTGGTCATGGCTCCTCCTACGCATGGCAGACTGCAAACTCCTGAAGCGCTGCCTTCGAATCACAGAATATGACCCATTTGCCTGGACGTTCTTGAACGAGATATGTAAGCAGCCCTTATAGCAGCAAGCTCTGATGCCGTAGATGTAGTCCATATGCGACAACTTAAACTTGATTGTCTTTCTGCAGCCGAATTACCGCGGCACCTGATTGAGCTGCTGGATGAGACGGACCAATCAGGTATATCTGCGTTTCGGTCCTAAGTAAACTCATGTAATAATAGCAGTGTTGCTTGCTTCAATGCTACTCTGGAGTGACTGCTTTTCTTTTTGATTCCCGGAATTTCTAGACGTACTTGCGGCTGGTCGAGGCACCAAAAGGGCATGCCGTTCTCGCAGCTGGCGTATATCCTGATGGAATGCTGTTAAGGTGCTTGGCTTTGACGTCTGAAAATGTAGCACGTGGTCTTCCGGAAGGTAGAAGGGCCAAGTTGTGGTCGGGGACACGGCTAGCATGTCGAATGTGCGCTCTGAGGCAATCCACAACTATATATACCTGACCGGATGGTCTTTGGCAAGCATGATTGTGGCATAAGTAGAAGCGCATCGGGGCAGTCCTAGGCAGATACGCAAAGCCTGACCATGCAAACTCTCCAATGAATCAGTATTCGATTTGAAATCTGCACAACATTACGAAATTAAGGTAAATGATGCCGTACATGACTTTTGTGTCATAATTATCATGTTTAGATGTGTCGCTTATCTTTGTCAAATATTCACGTCACGTGATAACAAATTTAGTATATGTGGAGCTAGCAAAACGGCCTCAAGCACGCTATGAGCGTGGTTAGTTGTCATGTTCTTACATGACACGCGTGTCTGGATTATTGTGTTTGCACCATTCATATATTTAGTCATCCATTGACGTCACGTAACATCGAACTTGGTATACGTATAGCTAGCAAAATGACC